GTGCTTCTGCTCCCTTCTCCTCTCACCTTTGACCCTTGTCATCTGGTTGCAGGCACAGAGCTGTTTATGGTCAGTGGGAAGGCAGTGTCTCTTTCCTCTATGCCCAAGACCGCCTGCAACACCACTCCATCATCACTGCCCTCACAAGAGGCCACGTGGTTGAATTATTTTTTTACACTGGGTCTTTGCTAAGGCACCTTCTGATGGGTTTAATAAAGAGCTGAAAGGTCAACAGCTAGGAAGAGATTAGGCGGGACTTCTGGGGACAGAGAGGATTCTGGAAATAAGAAAGGGGGAGTTGGGGCTGGAGAGATGGCTCAAAGGTTAAGAACATTGCCTACTCTTCCAAAGGTCCAGAGTTCAATTCCCAGCAACCACATGGTCTGGTGCCCTCTTCTGGCCAGCAGGCATACACACAAACAGAATAATGTATACATAATAAATAAATATTTTTTTAAAAAAAGGGGAGTTGTCTGTCAGACTCAGAGGAGGCAGGGTGGGCAGTACAGAGTAAAGGTAACCGAGCTTCAAAATAGAACGTAGATAAAAGATTAATTTCAGTTCTAAGAACTAGTTAGGAAAAAGCCTAAACTAAGGCCAAGTTTCCATAAATCAGTCTCTGTGTCATTATTTGTGAGCTGGTGACCAAAAGAAAAGTCCATCGATAGCCACACATTTGGTGTTTTACTGCTATCTTAAAATGCTAATCTTTCAAAAAAATTGATATGAGAAAGACTTGTACATAGAAACTGAAGCTCTGTGAGCCCCAAGTATCTACTCTTTTTGCTTTCATTCCTTTACATTCTTAAAACTGAGAATTCCAGCACCAGTATATGTGGGAGTTCAGAGGACATAACGTCAGTACAGGATGAGCATCCACATCCTCAACTGCCCCCCCCCCTCAGAGTATTGAACATCTGACAAGAAATGTCTGCCAGTCTGTTAAGGGCTGGGTCATAGCTCGTTGGCACAATATACTACGTTGAGCTCAAATTTACAATGTAACTGAGGATGACCTTCAACTTCTGAATTCTCTTGTCTACACCTCCTAAATGCTAGGATAACACGATGGATTTTTGTAGTGCTGAGAACTAAACCCACGGTTCTGTGTATGCCAAGCAAGCACTCTACCAACTGAGCCACAACCCAACACTTCAGTTACTGTGTGACTCTTTAGTTCTTATTTCCTTTAATACTTCCTTATTCAGCATTACTTAAAAGAGTGTTGGTATATTAGGAGGTACAAATAAGAGGATCACAAGTTCAAAGGTTATTCTCAGCAAAAGTAAGATCAATGCTAGTCTGGGTTATAGAAGACTGCGTGTGTGTTTTGGGAAAAGGTTTTGTAGCCATGGGTGCTATGGACTTGGTAGCCTTAGTTCACATGCCTGTGGTCCTCAGAGATGGAATTAAAGGTGTAGGATACCACTCTCTACCCCCATGCTCACAGTTTTCTTACACCACCCTGGGATCCAGCTCCACAGCCCCTATTTAGTCTTCAGACAGGATGTTATTTTGTAGTCCAGTTGGTCTGAAACTCACAAACCTGCTGCCTCAGTTTTCAGGATTCAGTCATGTATAATCGTTTTAAAGACTTACTTTCTTGTGTTTTTGTGTCTAGGTAAGGTGTCCCTTGGAGCTACAATTACAGGTATTTGCAGGATATAGCTGCTGGAATCCAAACTCTAGTACTCATGATTGAACATCTGCTGAGTTCTCTCTAACTCACAATGATTAAGACTTATTCTATGTGTATATTTTGCCTTTTTTTTTTTTTTTTGGTTTTTCGAGAAAGGGTTTCTCTGTGGCTTTGGAGCCTGTCCTGGAACTAGCTCTGTAGACGAGGCTGGTCTCGAACTCACAGAGATCCGCCTGCCTCTGCCTCCCGAGTGCTGGGATTAAAGGCGTGCGCCACCACCGCCCGGCATATTTTGCCTTTTTGTGTATGTATATGCAACATGCATGTTTGGTGCCCACTGAGGTCGCAAGAAGGCATTGGGTCCTCTGGAACTGAAGTTACAGATAGTTGTGGGCCACCATGTGAGTGCTGGGAATCAAACCCTGGTCCCCTGCAAGAGAAACAAGTGCTCTTAAGCTATGAGTCATTTCCCCAACCCCGATATTACTACCTTAAGTCCTTTTTTTTTCCTTAATAAATCTGGAATACAGTTGTTCAAAATCAACTCCAAAACATCACACAACAGACTGAACAGACTGTCCCACTATAATACTGTCAGTAATGATGGACTAAATTTTACCTGTGGTCAATTTAAAAGTCACAGCATAACCAGGAGGTGGTGGCACATACATTTAGTCCCAGCAGTCAGGAGGCAGAGGCAGGTGGATTTCTGAGCTCGAGGTCAGCCTGCACTACAGAATAAGATGTTATATAGAGATATCTTGTCTCTGAAAATCCAAGTTAAATGAAAAGATAGATAAAAGCCACAATACAAACCTTGCAGACGTTCACCAAATCTTTATTTGCAATACACAAACCTGGAATTTAAGACACAAACTCCCCACCACTGTTCCAACTCTGATCTCTGGGCTTCATATTTAGAATGTCTTCAACAGTACTTCTGTCAGTATAGAAAACTGAGAACTTGGAGCTCAGCAATGCTACGAGGCTTCAGATGGAGAAATGGGGGAGTTCCAGGCCCAGCTTCTCTCTGAATCCAGTAGGCACATAAACTGACAGCCATCCCGTCTACTATCCAGCAAACACCCCTACCTCATTCCTCTACTCTTTGTTCTCTTTTGCATGACTGGGGATAGAACCTAGGATGACACTGCATGCTGGGTTAGATAGTCCCAGCTACTCTTTCTTTTCTTCGTTTGTGAGACTAAATCAACCTTATTTCTCATGGGTCCAGTTTCCATCCAGACCATGGTTATCTGAGACAGAAATGCCATCTTCACAGCGCCTGTCTGTTTTCCAGATAGGTTCTTGCTACTAGCTTAGGCTGGCCTTGAACTCAATGTGTCTCTCACATTACAGCTGGCATTACAGGTGACTAACATACTCGGTCTCTTTCATTTCTATTCTTTGTGTGTTTTCTAGAAGTTAAACCCCAAAGTCTGACATACCAGGCAAGCACTTTACTACTGAGCTGTATATCAAGGCAAGAAATTAAGAGATGCTAGAAAAAAAATGAATTTTGTTTGCTTTGTATTTTGGAGAGATAGGGTTTCATTATGTAGCTTAGACTGGCCTTGAATTTCTATTGCTTCTAGAGGGCTGGGATTCTATGCATGATGCCACACCCATCTCCTCTTTAATGTTTTAATTTTGGTTTCTTTTTAAAAACTCATTCACTGAAGGACATCTGGATTACTTCCATTTTTGGTCTATTATGAATTGCTAAAAAGTGAAACAATCATTCATTCAAACATCACTGGTGGGGAAATCATTTCCAATCTTTTAAATATAATTTATATTTATTTTTTAAAATATTTATTTATTTATTTATTATGTATACAATATTCTGTCTGTGTGTATGCCTGCAGGCAAGAAGAAGGCACCAGACCCCATTACAGATGGTTGTGAGCCACCATGTGGTTGCTGGGAATTGAACTCAGGACCTTTGGAAGAGCAGGCAATGCCCTTAACCTCTGAGCCATCTCTCCAGTCCCATTTTTTTGATTTTTCAAGACAGGGTTTCTCTGTGTAACAATCCTAACTATCCTGGAACTCACTCTGGAGACCAGGCTGGCTTCAAACTCATGGATATCTGCCTGCCTCTGCCTCCCGAGTGCTGGGATTAAAGATGTGCGCCACCATTGCCTAGCCAATTTAATTTTATCTTATGGTCATTGGTTTTTGGCCTGCATGTGTATCTGTGTGAGGGTGTCAAAAACCCTTTAACTGGAGTTACAGACGGATATGAGCTGCCATGTGGGTGCTGGGAACTGAACCTGGGTTCTCTGGAAGAACAGTCAGTGTCCTTAACCATTGATCCATCCCTTCAACCCCAAATTTTGTTTTTAATTAGCTTAGAACTCAAAGAGATTTACTTGCCTCTTGAGTGATGGAATTAATGAATATGCAACCACACCCTAATCTTAATCTTTTTATTTTGAGACAATTCTAATATTTAAATAGTTCTAAGAAATAGAGAAATCCTGGGCTGGAGAGATGGCTCAGTGGTTAAGAACATTGCCTGCTCTTCCAAAGGTCCTGAGTTCAATTCCCAGCAACCACATGGTGGCTCACAACCATCTGTAAAGAGGTCTGGCGCCCTCTTCTGGCCTTCAGGCATACACACAGACTATTGTATACATAATAAATAAATAAATATAAAAAAGTTTATGAAATTAATTAAAAAAAAAGAAATAGAGAAATCCTATGTACCCAATTTCACTCAAAGGCAACATCTTGTAAAGAATATAGTACATCACCACCAAGATACTGACACCGATACCAAGAGCCAGAGCAGTCTAGCCTCCTGGTCCTTATTCTCAAGGCTTCATGAAGAATTATATTAAAATTCTTATATTTTGATTTATATTAAGATTCATATATTTTGTTGTTTTTTGAGACAAAGGCTAACTCATTAACCTAGAATTTGATGTGAAGCCAAAGAACTTCTGATCCTTTTACTGAACTTACAGTGCCTAGGTTACAGGTTTGCACCACTGTGCCAGATTTATGAGGTGCTAGCTAGGGAGGGGGTGGCGATGTTGAACCTTAGAGTGTCAAATATACGAGGTAAGCACCAACTTGTAAGCTACATCCCAGCCCTTATGTTCTTTGTTCCGAATGGTAAAATGTATGTTAGAATCTTTGAGGGAAGCACAAATATAACTCAGTGATAGAATTCTTGCCTGCCGTGCAAAGACCTGGGTCAAGTCCCAAGTTTTTTTAAAAAAAGTCAGGCAGTAGTGCTGTATGTTTTTGATCCCAGCACTTGGAAGGCAGAGGCAGGAGGATCTGGCTGGAGGCCAGCCTGGTCTACAGGGTGAGTTCCAGGACAGCTAAGGCTGTTACATAGAGAAGCCTGTTTTGAAAAACAAACAAAAATCAAAATTCTTTTAATCAAAAAATGTTATTTGTTAAAAATATATATATATACATATATTATATACATATATGTACTCTGATGAAATGAATCCAAAGTATGACAATGTTTCTCCAGCGTAATCTACACTTTAGTTTACATTTATTAAGCATCATAGATATGTAATACTCAAAGTAACAAAGCTCCATTAAAGAGCCAAAAACTAAGAAGGAAACAGTTTCAAGTATATGGACTGCCTAGTTAGCCTATTTGTCTCTCTGTTCCAATAGTATGCTCTTTTATGGTTATCACTAGGAAATCTCTCTCTTTTTTTTGGGGGGGGGACAGGGTTTCTCTGTAGCTTTGGAGCCTGTCCTGGAACTAGTTCTTGTATACCAGGCTGGTCTCGAACTCACAGAGATCCGCCTGCCTCTGCCTCCCGAGTGCTGGGATTAAAGGCGTGCGCCACCATTGCCCGGCACTAGGAAATCTCTTAAAGATGTAGTGTTCTGCCTGAAAGCCAGAAGAGGGCACCAAATCTCAAAGATGGTTGAACTCAGGACCTCTGGAAGAGCAACCAGTGTTCATAACCTACGAGCCATCTCTCCACTCCCAAGAATTTTTCTTTAATTTTTTTACTTATTTATAAATTTTTTATGCATGAGTACTCTGTCCGCATATACACCTGCAAGCCTGAAGGGGGCAAGAGATCCCATTATAGATAGTTTGAGCCACCATGTGGCTGCTGGGAATTGAACTCAAGACCTTTGGAAGAGCAGTCAGTGCTCTTGACTGCTGAGCTAACCTCACCAGCCTTCCCAAATTCTTTCTTGACAGTCAAGGGTGAAATGTTAAAACAATGGTTACTCTCTCTAGGGAGAAAAAAGTATATCCAACTAAGATGGCAGCTCCTGTTGTATGTAGGGAAAAATATAGCAAAGGGAAAGAATTTATATGCTAGAGGATGAAGAGAATATTCTCAGCATAGACTATGCACCATATACAAACCAAAATAAGCAACAGGGTCTTCCCATTAAAGGCCTGATAAAAATACACACACACACACACAGACACACACACATATGAATGATGTGTAGACCAGGTTGGCCTCAAACTAGGCAGTCAAGGTTAACTCTGAACTTCTACTTCTTAAGTCTTGGGGTTGTAAGCATGTTACCATGTCTAGCTTCAATGGTATTTATACAATAATATTAGTAAACTTTGTCCTATACAGCTATGTGTTTAATTCATTAGTAAAAATAACAAAAGCTTTATCACTCAGCAAGACCTTTGCTAGACATAACAATTTCACACAAAAGGACACAAGACTACACTATCAATCAATTATTTTCCTTATATTTGTAATATATCCACATGTTAATACTGTGACAGAAAAAGGTTATGCAGGAGAAACGGACTTCGATAATCGGACTACGAATAAAAACAAGGGTTTGCACACTGCTAAAGTGATCGTTGAACACACCAACTGGATCTTAGAGTGCTTTAGATCACTCTGTCCTGGTAAGCAAAGAAGTCAAAAGGAGTCTCTCCCAAGAAATGGTAGAGATGATAATCACCATGTAGAAATTGTTTCGCTTCATGAGGTGAGAAAATAAAAGCTCTACAGCTGGGAAACTGTACTAATCAAGGGCTGTCCCAAAAGGAAGTCATCAGAGGAAAGGCAACAAGCAATTGCACGGATGTATCATGCATGAAAAGCAATTACACAATACACTCTTTAATGAGCAAATATATTAATGTGGCAAAATTTACAGCTATTGAAACAAACTAGATTTAAACACTAATGCTTCTACCAGATGTTTCATTATAAAATAATTAATGTCTAAAAACTCTATGTTTTGAGTACTTACTTTCAGAACCCTTTTGAGATAATAAAGACGCTGTAACAAAATATCATTATCTGAATATACATTATTGACACCAATATGATACAGGCATAGAAGTCTCATTTTATATATGTATGGTGGAATACTGTAAAAAGGATGAAAACAGTTTAAATTATCAAACTAATTCATGATAAACCTCTATAAACTTAAATACTTATCCTTGCTACATTCTCTGGTCTATGTAAGGTGCTGTCTGAAAGAATTTAAAACCTCCCATTTGCATCAAGTATTCAGTTTTTGCTCTAAACTTTTTTTTATTTCACTGTTCCTTATTTTACATTAATATAGGGTCTGTGGCATTGCTCAAGCTGGTCTCAAACGACAATCCTCAGCAGTTGGGATTACATGTATGTGCCACTGTACCCGAGTTCACTACTTTAGTTATTAGTCAGACAGAAAAGAAAAGAAAAAACAAAACACAAAACCACTCAATTCAATGAATCATTTTAAATAAGAATCCCAAGACAAGGCACATGGATGCTATCTCAGAGCTACTCTTGGAACAGTGATGTTTAGGTTACACCCACAAATCTGATGACAGCACTTCTCATAGTCTGACAATCTTTGTAGGACAGTTTACTTTACAAACCCTTCTTTCAGTTACTGAAGAGCTGATTTCAAAACATAAAATGAATACACCTGCTATTCCTGAGATGGTGGTGGTGGTGGTAGTGACGTTGGTGGTGGTAGTGGTAAACAAAAACCCACGATTTTTACTCAAATTTCTGTTTTAGTTTTTTTTGGAAGATGGCTGGCAGAATAGAAAGAAGAGCCAAAATCATCAGAATAAATACTGAGTTCCAGGAAACAGCTTCCCCTGCTGTCGTAAGCTGATATAGAGTTGTTCCTGCCTTAATTGCTACAAAAGAGGGAGGTGCAACACCTAAAAAAAAAAAAAACAAAAAACAAAAAACAGTGAGTGAGTGGCAATGGCAATCAAATAAAAGTAAAAACCACCATTTTTCATATTTTTCACATGTATGCATGTTTTGTTCACATGTATGTAAGTGCACTATGTGCAGGCATGCCCACAGAGGCCAGAAGGTGGCATCAGATCCCTAGAACAAGAATAACACAAGACGGTATAAGCCTCCATATAGGTACTGGGAACTGAACTTAGGTTCCCTATAAGCACAAGTACTCTTAACCACTGAGCCATCACTCCAGACCCCCAAATCATACTTTAAAAGTTAAAATTCTATGTGCATATAGTCTTTTAGGAACACAGCCATGTGCATTGTGAATAAAGGATTAAGAAGTTAATGCAGGTATTTAGCATACAGGAGGCCCTGGATCAATCCCAGCACACACAAGCAGATTATCAAATTATCATTGGATTACATTTTGAAATGATAAAATTATCTGACACAGACTCAAGTATAACATGGAAATAAAATTAATTCAGGATTAAAATTTATATCAATAAAGCAAAATTCTAAAAAAAAAAAATAATTTCAGGTGTTCCTTTTTTTGATGTTCCTAGATGGCTCACCCAGTCCTCATGGCCCTGTGCTAGTAAAATAAAATCTTTTATTATATGCTCAAGATCAAATCTCTCCCAGCTGTTTACTCAATTTTACAAGTATGCCTTTTCATAGAGAGTTTAATATTCCAAAGTACAAGAAGAGCTAGCGAGATGGCTCAGTGGGTAGAAAACTTCAAGCTCCATAAGTGTAGACCCCTAAAAGAAATTCAGTTTTTCAATCACCTCCTAAGGATTATGAAAAACTTTTTTTTTTTTTTTTTTTTTTTGGTTTTTCGAGACAGGGTTTCTCTGTGGTTTTGGAGCCTGTCCTGGAACTAGCTCTTGTAGACCAGGCTGGTCTCGAACTCACAGAGATCCGCCTGCCTCTGCCTCCCGAGTGCTGGGATTAAAGGCGTGCGCCACCACTGCCCGGCCTGAAAAACATTTTTAAAAGATTTATTTATTTATTATGCATACAATGTTCTGCCTTCATGAATGCCTGTAGGACAGAAGAGGGCATCGGATCTCATTAGAGATGGTTATGAGTCACCATGTGGATGTTGGGAATTGACCTTTAGGATCAGAACCTTTGAAGAGCAGCCAGTGCTCTTAACTCCTGAGTTATCTCTCCAGACGCAGGTTAATGAAATTTTTACAAGCCAGGAAACTTGAGAAGGCAAATGAAAACAAAAAAAGCAATGTCATCTAGAGAATAACTTCACAACTTTAGTATGTTTTAAAGTCAGTGAGTCCCGTAATTCCAACTACTACTAGGGAGGAGAGGCAGGAAAATCTTTAGAGACCAAGCTTTGCCTAAGCGATGTCTCAAAGTAGAAAGTGAAAAAAAGGTGGGCGGGCTGGGAAGCTAACTCAATGGCAATGTTTGCCTAGCATGCATGAAGCCCTAGGTTCAAGCTCACATACTGCCAGTACCCCCCAAACCCCCACAGAAACTAGGTTGAATATAGTGTATAGAACAGACTTTAAAATTAAAATGGTAAGGGTTAGAAACGTAACTCAGTGATAGAATGCCATCCAAGCATTCAAAAGGTCCTGGGTTCAAGCTCTACCTCCAAATCAAACACACACACACACAAAAAAAAACAGTAGAAGGAGGGAAGATACTCAAAGTCTAAGTAGACGCAGCAGTTTATAATATGAAGTAAATGCTGGAAAGATTGCTTAGTGGTTAAGAATGCTTGCTGCTCTTGCAGAAGGTCACAGGTCAATTCCCAACACCTATGTTGGTGGTTCACAAACACCTAGAACTCCAGCTCCAGTGATATCTGATGCTTCTGATCTCCATAGGCACCTACACTCACACGCCTATTTTCTCACTCTGACACATAATTTAAAAAAAAAATCAGAACTCGTAAGTCAACTTTAGCAAATATTCAATACATGAAATCCACACATGCAGAATCCAAGCAATTTAAACTGCAAATAAAAGCAACAGTCTTTCTAAATAAAGGCGGAATTCTCAAAATTAAGGTTTTGCCCTTGTGTACGGTAGTTAGACAAGCACTCAACTCCTCTAATAAATTGCTGTGTCCACTTATTAACTTCAAAATATGGTATCAATTTTTGATGTCTATTGATCTCACTTTTCCTAGACTTCTGGTGATATCCGCAATAAATCTAATTTCTATATTTGAAAAACAGTTCAAAAACAGAAACTAAATGTTTCTATCTACTGAGAGAGACAGTGAGTTTAAAAAAAAATTCAGGTGGTAGAGGTCCACGTCTTTAATCCCAGCACTCTGGAGGCAGAGGCAGGCGGATCTCTGTGAGTTTGAGGCCAGCCTGGTCTACAAGAGCTAGTTCCAGGACAGGCTCCAAAACCACAGAGAAACCCTGTCTCGAAAAAAACAAAACAAAACAAAACAAAAAAACCAAAAAACTGAAAAGAAAAGAAAAGTTCAGGCTGGGGACGCAGTGAAGTTTGTGCAGCCGAGAAAGTACTAAGAAAAAGCTGTCTTTGGAAGGCCAGAGGGCACCTGGAGCCTGGGATGCTCAACATGCAGTCCAGGCTTATGAGAAGAGTTCTCAGCCAGAAGAGTTTGTGGCTGACTCCAGCTGGCAAAGGAAGAAACGGCCAATGGGCCAGAGTTGGGGTGGAAATAAAACGTTCCCAGGTTTGAGCCCTAATATCACCAAAACAAAACAAAAAAGGATACAAAAAAAGAGGTGGTGAGGGTTCTGCTTAATCTCAGGTTATTAAAATAACACATAATAGAAAGTGATCATTCTTTACAGACGTTAACACATTACAACACATTGAAAAAGCTGTTGTTCTAGGCCAGGTTTGTGTTTGAGTTATATATGATACTGGTGATTTTGCACACAGCAGACAATCTAGGCCAGCTGGACATGCACACGATGAGCTGTCACAGGTGAACCAGAGGTCTTACCTAGAAAAGTGCCAATAAAAAACACCTTCAATGGCACATTTATCACAGGAGATGTTATATTAATAAACCAATTAGGCAGAAATGGTGTGATTCTCAAAAAGATAATGTAGTTAATGAGATGTTCTCTATGACGCTCTACCTGTTGTAAGAAAAGAACCAGTGTAAGTTAAGACCAACATTGAAAGTAAACTGCTAATATAAAATACCTTAAATTCTCATCCCTGATACATTTCAATTTTCCCAACAGAAACAATGTGTATACAGCATCTGCCTACCATGTGTAAAGCCCAGGGTTAAATACCCAGAAAAACACAGACATGCACAGTTAAAAAAAAAAAATTCCTTTCACCTTTACATGGGTTCCAGGGATCAAATTCAGTTGTTAGGCTTTTGGGCCATGACCTTATAGAATGAGGCATCTTACCAGCCCTTATTTTAGTTTTTACAATTATGGGTGATCCTAGGAACTCATTCATGCTAGCCTCCAGTTTAATTTTTTAAAAATTCACATAAGTCAGGGGTTGCAGAGTGCTATGCTTTAAATGAGGGAGGGTCTAGATCCTCAGCAACACCAACTAAAGAGAAGAACATAATCATGACAAGCATAGTATTATCCTTGTCAAAAGATAAATTTTAAGTTAATTTCATATGTAAGATTATACATAAATGTATATAATCTATACAAATCGTTTTCATAGGAATGACCTACCTACTTATGATTCAAGCTATGTTCCACAATTTAAAAATAAACCAGGGTTCTCCACATCCATGGGCATATATATGAGCAGCATCAACTGGACTCAGCGCAATATATTAAGAAAAATTGCTTAGCCCTGCCGGTGGTAGAGCACGCCTTTAATCACACAGCACTTGGGAGGCAGAGGCAGGTAGGATCTCTGTGGGCTCAAGGCCAGCCTGGTCTACAAAGTGAGTTCCAGGACAACTAGGGTTGTTATACAGAGAAAACCTGTCTCAAAAAAAAAAAAAAAAAAAGGAAGGACGGAGAGAGAGAGACAGAGAGACAGAGACAGAGAGAGAGAGAGAAAAGACGGACACATAACTGGGAACTGGGGAGGGGATGTGTTGGGAAGTGAATCTAGAGGGAATTAAAAAGAAATAGGGGGTGGAGATGAACAAAATACAATGTACACACATATGAAATGCCATATAACAAGGTCGTATCTCAAAGAACTCAAACTGTGGCACTGTATATCTGACCAAAGCCTATGGCTAGAAAGGAACCCACTACTGCTGTCTTGCTAAAAATGTGTATGCTGTCGATGCCTTCCAAATCTTCATGTTTCTATCTGTAGATTAGTGCTGCTTTCAGAAAAGCTTCTTTTTGCAGTAGGCAGCAATGCAGAGTCATAACTGGGCAAAGTGCTGACAGTAAGTGGCTGCTGAGTGCTCAGACCTAAATGGGTCTCAAGAAACATCACAGAAAGGAAAGGAAAGAATTTAAGAGCTGGAGGATGGGAAGGAACACTGAAATGATGTCGGAAATAACATGGTCACTTCACTCATGAATTACAGCAGCTATGGCTACTTACACAAGATTAAGCAATGTTTAATTGCACAATAAACATTCCAGCATGGATGAAAAGGGACTTACGAGGTTCTACCCCTAGTTAAGAAACTAACTACTGGTAGTTGGTAGCTGCTAGAAGAAGGGGTCACTACGTTCCAGTGGATGCGCCTATCTCATGAGCATGCAGGCAACATTAATGAGACTTAGTAGGTTGGGGGGTGGGGTGGAGACAGAGATTATAGTAGGGTAAGTACTGAAGGAATGGGGAGAGTAAAGTCAGATTGGGGTTGAATATAATCAAGATACACTGTTGAAGACAGCAATGAATTAATGCATAGCTACTACTTAGCTTGCTCTACTTTTCATACAGTTCAGGACTCAGCCACTGAAATGGTGCTGACCACTAACAGGGTGGTCTTCCCATCTCAAATAACTCAACTAACAAAAGCCCGCAGGCCAATCCAGTCTAGACAATTCCTCATTGAGTCTCTCTTCCCAAGTCAACAACTTAAGTTAACCATAACATGCTTTATAATAAACTTCTTGTACGAAGTCTTTAATCCCTGGACTCTAGAAGCAGAGGAGAGCATATATTAAAGGTGAATCTGAGGCTAGCCTGGTCTACAAACTGAGATCTAGGCCCTCCAGGGCTACATGAGAAATTAGGCATGTGTGAATATAATCAAAATACACTGTATGAAATTCTCAAAGAACAAAAATATGTTTTAAAAATTTCTTATCACATGATGACAAAACCAAAAAAATCAAAAAGAAACAAAACCAAAAATACATGCCTACCTGCTGCGACCATTTTATTGCCTTCTCTGTTAGGTATTTGTATACAACAGGTCTTCCAACTAAATAGGAGAGCATGTAGCAGAAGGAGGCACCAAGTCCAGAACACTGGAAAACAAAACAAACAAACAAAATGCACTCTGTATCCTCCCATCTCATTCCTGCAGATGTATTTACTTAGTTGACCTCTCTCAGGGCCAGGCAGAACAGTCTAAATAACATCTCTTATTTAGAGAAAAGAAGAACCCATTTGATCTAGTCCTTTCTCAAACTCTAAAAACAAGATCAGATAAAACAAATTGGTACTTGCAATGAAACTTTGTGACCATATCCAGTAATTACTGTTTAGTTTAAGAATAAGGAGCCTTAGCTGGTGTGGTGGCACAGCATTCCATTCAGGAGGCAGAAGCAGGCAGATCCCTGTGAGTCTGAGGCCAGCCTAGTCTGCAAAGCAAATCCCAGGATAGCAGGGCTGTTACTCACAGAAACCCTGTCTCAAAAAACAAAAGAATAAGTAGCCCTTCCCATCCTCCCCTATACCTATGCATAAAGACACCTCCATATGAACTGCAAAAAACAATAGGAACGAAAGGCTATATAATTAAAAGCAAGTCTATAGTATCCCAGTCTAAGAAAACCAAAATCTTTTTTTTGTTGTTGTTGGTTTTCTGAGACAGGGTTTCTCTGTAGTTTTGGAGCCTGTCCTGGAACTAGCTGTAGACCGGGCTGGTCTTGAACTCAGAGATCCATCTGCCTCTGCCTCCCGAATGCTGGGATTAAAGGCGTGCGCCACCACTGCCTGGCAAAAAACAAAAAAAAACAAAAAACTCTTAAAAGTTCCTCATGAGAGACTTAATAGGAACCACATTCCTGTTAATTAACAAGTTAACTAACAACAACTCCTTGAAAATTGATGAATGAGACACACTGGTGTGGCTAGAATGCCATTATCACCCTCACCCCAATTCATTGCCCATACTTACCAAGCAAACAAGGAATAAGGCTAGTGGGAATGGGTAAAGGAACCCCGAGAGTATGCTGAGGAAAATGGAGCCTGGAATAGCAAATGTTTGCAGACTGTTAACTTCTAAGTTAAGGATCAAAACATCAAGAAGTGGAATTTTCACAAGACAAACTCAACATCTGAGGAAAATTACAATACAGAAATTATGTCAATAACCCCAAAGTAATCTTATGTAGTCTTATTACTTTGTGTTGGAATGAAATCTGCCCCAGCAGTTCAGGTGGATTTTTCTACCTGTAGTATCATATTCACACTAAAACAAGGTGCATACTTTGGAGATTCTGGATATTGGTTTGGGGACTTGTAGTAAAGGACAATGGATGCCTCCAGCTCTAAGCAAGCTACCACTGACTAATAATACTCAACTTCAGCAAGCAAATAAATGCAATGTTGGTAAGAGTATGCTAAGAGGAACTCCAGAACAAACACCCAGTAGACATTGGGAAGAAACAAATCAGACAGCAGCCAAAGTCTTCTGTGATGCTTTTATTTTAGGGTTTTTGTTTTGCTGTTTTTGAGACAATCTCATTTTGTAGCCCCTGGCTGACCTGGAACTTTCTTTGTAGACCAGGTTAGACTCAAACTCAAGAGATCCACCTGCATCTGCTGCCTAGTGCTAGGATTAAAGGCATGCTAATACATGCTAATGCAGACTGGCTGTATTAACAACTATGCTGTGTCTCTACCTATCATTCTCTCATTCTTTCAGCTGCTTAGTAATGTTGCTTTTTAATACTCAATATTCAAACATAAAATATATACTTAGTATAGACGTATTGCTTTAAAAAAAAAAAAACTGGTTAAGCCAGGCGGTGGTGACGCATGCCTTTAATCCCAGCACTTGGGAGGCAGAGGCAGGTGGACCTCTGTGAGTTCGAGGCCAGCCTGGTCTACAAGAGCTAGTTCCAGGACAGGCACCAAAGCTACAGAGAAACCTTGTCTCAGAAAACAAAAAACAAACAAAAAAACTGGTTAAATGAATGAACACTAGGATTAAAATAAGAAACTTTAAAAATTATATCCAAAAAAATAAAATAAAATGAATAGCTAAGCATGGTAGCAAACACATTTTTGAATATTAAATTAAATTATTTGTGTGTGTTTTTTGACCTCAGTGGGATGTATGGAGGTCAGAGGACAACTCTCAGGAGCAGGTTCTCTCCTACCCTGTTGTCGTAGGAATCAAATCCAGGATACGCTTGGCAAGCGCCTTTACCTGCTATGCCATCTCACTGGCCCTTGAATTAACATTTTAAAAGGAAAACAGTCATTACTTAAACAGGAGACCTTTAGAACCTCATCTGGAGCAAATTAGAAAACATTTTTCAAGTAAAAGGATACAAAATATATGTAGCAAAGTAAGCGACCAATACTTGTACGTAAAAGGTATCCTTGTACTTGGAGAGGACCTTTCCCAGAGCCTTGGCGTCATCCATATCTCTTGGGACCTTTATATTCACTCTTTCTTCTCTAAAGAAAACAATGTAAAAAATTTAAAAACCATAATTCCATGATAAAAATCAAAGCCAAATTTAAAACATGGAGTTTTAAACCAAAATGATGCAATGCAATTGATCTGTAATAAGGACAAATTCACATTTTTTAGATATAATAATCTATAAACATACACACATACAAATTAAAATTCAAAATGATACAAACCAAAGATTAAAAACATTTCTTTCACTATTGGCTTTAATTTTAATATTAAGAAATGAGCCATGGATATTAACATATTAAAAACATACTTGCAGGGCTGGAGAGATGGCTCAGCGGTTAAGAGCATTGCCTACTCTTCCAAAGGTCCTGAGTTCAATTCCCAGCAACCACATGGTGGCTCACAACCATCTGTAATGAGGTCTGGTGCCCTCTTCTGGCCTTCAGGCATACACAGAGAATATTGTATACATAATAAGTAAATATTAAAAAATAATAATAATTAAAAAAAAATAAAAATAAATAAAAACATACTTGCAGGGCAGTGATGGTGCATGCCTTTAATCCCAGCACTCATGGAGAGGCAGGCAAATCACTGTAAGTTTTAAGCTAGCCTGATCTACAGAAAAGTTCCAGGGCAGACAGAACTATACAGAAAAACCCTGTCTCAAACCACCAAAAAGAAAAGGGTGGAAAGTTACCCTTCCACCTCTTCTGAGCCAGGGCTTCATCATGTAGACTTAGTTGGCCTACCATTTCCTACATTGACCAGGATGACCTCAAATGCCCAGTTGAAATTTTTATAAGAAATCATTCAAACCTTAACAAGGCGGCAGATAGAAAACAAAATTAATAGCAAGGAAAAGGAAAAAGTGAGGGGAGGTGAAACATGACCATAACACCAGCTACAAGATAACCTCAATTAGTGGGTAGGCTGAGGCAGGAGTTGGAAGACAGTTTGGTTTTCATTAGAAGACACTGTCTCCAAATGGGGTAAGAAGGATGTAGTAGTACATGCCTTTAATCCCAGCACTAGGAGGCAGAGGGAGGCAAAGTAAGAATCTAGCTAGGGTCAACACAATTCCAGGGCAGCAGGATTACATAGTAAAACTGTCTCAGAAAAAGAGTTAAATAAACTAGAAGGTGATGGTGCACACCTTTAATCCCAGCTCTCCAGAGGCTGAGGCAGGTGGATCTCTGTGAGTTTAAGGTCACCCTGGTCTACTTAGTGAGTTCCAGGACAGGCAAGGCTACATAGTGAGACCCTAACTCAAAAGAACAATCATTAAATAAATAATAAAATTAGAGTTACCTTTGAATTTAATGTACTTTTATGTTCATTCATTTCCATTGCAGGATAATGACAGAATGATACTTTCTTATTTTTCTCATATTTTTATGTTAAGCTAATCTAGGGCTTTTGGATCAACTGATGCTCCCTCCAGCTTCAGACTGAGTAGCTAACTTGCTGGGACTACAGATTTATACCACCACACCTAACTGCATGCTACCTTTCTTAAGTACTATAAAAATACCTAACTAAAACGGCTTCGAGCTGATGAAATTTAAAACTAGAAAGATTCTAGAGCAGTGTGTACACATGTATACACAAATACACAGAAAAGAGCAGACTAGAAAAGGCACCGAACTACATTATTTTCTGTAAGTATGTTAGTACACAGATTGGACGCAAAAATTACTTTAAATCAGCTCTTTATTTCCTATTCCTCTATAAAAAGCCAGAAAGGATCTAAAATCAAATTCATTTCAGGAGGCAGAAACAAGAGGACCTCTGTTAGTCTTAGAGACTAACCTCTGTCCTTAGAGTGCTTGCTGGGATTATGGGTTTGTGCCACCACACCTGTCCCATCCTTTTCTTAATAAATTCTAATTTTGTTTCATGGAAGGGAGAGGAGAGGAGAAAAGAGGAGAGGAGAGGAGAGGAGAGGAGAGGAGAGGGGCGGGGGGGGCATATTTCAGTTGGTAGACTGCTTACTTAAGATACAGAAAACCTGGATGAAAATCTGGTATGGTGGCATAGGGAGGTGGAGGCGGCGGAACTAGAAATTCAAGGTCATTCTTTGTGAAAACAGGGAGTTTAAACCAAAACAAAACGGGAGGAAGGTACTCCTGGATTCTATAATCCTGAGAGCTGATACACAAGCACCTTAAATAGTTCTGTTGCTAAAGGAAATGTGTAGTTTTTAATTTACTTCACCTCGCCGGGCGGTGGTGGCGCACGCCTTTAATCCCAGCACTCGGGAGGCAGAGGCAGGCGGATCTCTGTGAGTTCGAGACCAGCCTGGTCTACAGAGCTAGTTCCAGGACAGGCTCCAAAACCACAGAGAAACCCTGTCTTGAAAAACTAATAAAAAAAAAAAAAAAAAAAATTTTTACTTCACCTCTAAAATACATAGACATTTTTAGTCTCTTTTGTATACTTACTCACTAAGCTGAGGAAAATTTTTATATACCAAATACATGAGAAAAGCTGCACATGAGAAAATGGACACCAGTATAAGGAGTGACACTCTTGCTGAGCCAGCTTCTGCACAAGGTTTGTCTGAAAGAGAAAAAGTGTAATTAAAATAAACCGTATTTCAAGCTAATAACTTCCTCAAACCCTTTCTCCCAAAGGCCATTCATACTTTTGCCTAAAACTATGACATTAAACCAATTAATTCAACTGCTATAAGAACCACTTATTGGCCATCTTCCAACATCCAAGGGGCAGACGCAGGCTAGATTCTTTAAATTTAAAGCCAACTTTGTGCACGTAGTGTAGGACAGCCAGAGATACATAGTAAGGTCCCATCTAAAACAGAAAACAAACAAACAAAAGACTGAGGAAGATACCTGACATTGACCTCTGGCCTCTACATGTGCACACACCCACACAAACATGTGCATACCACACACACATACATAAATTACTTTTGGCATGACGGTTCAAACATGTAAACCCAACTCTCAAGATCTGAAGGTCTGAGGCTAGCCTGGGATAGATAACAAGATTTCTGCTCAAGGATTGATAGCTATGGGGCAGCAGAGACTGGTGAAGCAGCTGCTGTTCTGAAAAGTTCATTCAGTTCTCAGCACTCACATAGTAACTCACAACCATCCAAAACTCCAGTTCCAGGGAATCTGATGCCCTCCCTCTTCTAGTTTCCACAGGTGCCAGCAAGTGGGGCATATACATACATGCAGCCAACATTCATACATAAAACTAACCTTTAAAAACAAAACAGTTGTTATGGAGATGGGGAAATGGCCAAGTAAGAGTGCATATATGCAAACATGAGAACTGAGTTTGATCCCCAGATTCAGCCAGCCTAGTCCAAAGAGGGAGCTTCATATTCACTAAGTAATGCACAGAACAATAAAGGAAGGCACCTTTGTGTTCTGGGCTCTATCTGTATGAGCCTAAGTGATCATATCCACCCACTCACATGCTTACACCATACACACAACACACAAAACAAGCTACAAAAACATCAGTATGTATTAAAACAACTTAATCAAAAACGTAACTTTTGGGGGCTGGAGAAATGGCTCAGTGATTAAGAGCACTGACTGCTCTTCCAGAGGTCCTGAGTTCAATTCCCAGCAACCACATGGTGGCTCACAGCCATCTATAATGAGACCCGGCGCCCCCTTCTGGCCTGCGGGCATACATGGAAGGAATGCTGTACACATAATAAATAAATAAATCTTTAAAAAAAAGTTAACTTTCGTTCCTAGGACAAAAGACTAGGTAAGATATGGCAGGCAGCATACACTTAAGTAATCCCAGCAATTAGGAAACTGAGGCAGGAAAATAGGGAACTGGAGATAAACCTGGGCTACATAAGGAAACCACCTCAAAGAAAACCACACACACACACACTCAAACAATTTGTTTTGGTTTTCTTGTCACATTGGTGTGGGAGAATTGTCTGTATTCTGTCAATCATGTTTTAAATAAATGCTGATTGGCCAGGCAGGAAGTATAGGCAGGAAAACCAAACCAGAAGTAGAAATGATGCAAGAAGCAAGATGTGAGCTGCCCTGCTGAGAAAGGTACTGAACCAAGCGGCTAGCATAGATAAGAACAATGGGTTAATATAAGCTACAAGAGCTAATATGTAGCCTGAGCTAATGGGCCAATCAGTTTTATAACTTATGGAGATCTCTGTGTGATTTTCTTTGGGGCTAAACAGCTGGGGGCAGAAGGCAGGACAGAAACCTCCAACAAGCACGCCCCCTTCATGTTACATCACATAAAAAAAAAGTAGTCTTAGAAGATAAATAAGAGGGCCTGGCTTGGTAGCCCACGCCTGCCTTTAATCCCAGCATTTGGGGCAGAGGCAGGTGAATTTCTGTTTGAGGCCTGCCTGGTCTACAGAGGCAAGTACTAGGATGGCCAGGGCTACATAGAAAAGCCCCGAAATCCTGTCTCAAAACAAAACAAAAGATTAATAAGAAGAACACATAAATACTGAGTTCAGAGAAACAGTTTTAATGGGCTGTCATCAAAGCAAAGACACGCTATTCATTTAAGTAGTACGCAAGCAGTTTTTATCATGCCTGTTGTCTTTTAAATCTACCTGAAGGGCTAAGGAGATGACTCAGCAGGTGAAGACACTTGCCACCAAACCTGACAGGTGACCTGAATTCCATCCCTGACATCCACAAAAAAGCAAAGGTAGATCAGATTCCTGCAAACTGTCCTTCGATCTCCACATGCATGCCCTGGAATACTGTGTTCTGGCACATACGCACATGCCCATCTACTCTCAAATCAATCAATCAATCAATCAATGTAAAAAACCTTTTAACCTACCATCTAGAGTTAACTTGTCCCAGCCCACATGCCACATCTACCCTCAAATAAATAAGTAAAACTTTTTAACCTACCATCTAGAATTAACTTGTCCCAGTCCAAAGTTTTAGCTTATTACATTGAGAAGAAAGTCTATGAATTCAAAGTGTTTAATAGCAATATAATCTGTTTGTTTTAAAGAATTTTTAAAATATTTATTTATTAAGCATACAATATTATGTCTGTGTGTATGCCTGCAGACCAGAAGAGGGCACCAGACCTCATTACAGATGGTTGTGAGCTACCATGTGGTTGTTGGGAATTGAACTCAGGACCTTTGGAAGAGCAGGCAATGCTTTTAACCGCTGAGTCATCTCTCCAGCCCCAATTTGTTTTTTGAGACAGGTTTTTTTTCTCTGTGTAGCGCTGGCTGTCCCGGAACTTGGTCTGTAGACTAGGCTGGCCTCAAACTCAGATCTGTCTGCTTCTGCCTCCTGAGTGCTGGGATTAAAGGCATGCATCACCACTGCCCAGCAATAGTAACATGATTTAACATTAACTTTAGATTAGTTTTCACTATGATTTCTAAGAACAAACAGCAGATCTTCTCCCCACTCCTGGCAATTCTACATAAGTCACAGACTGAAAGCATACTTCTCTGTATGCTCGGCACCTACTATGTTCAATCTCTGCTTCCAAGAAGCAGGCAAAACCATCATAAAGAATACGAAATCAGCCGGGCGTTGGTGGTGCATGCCTTTAATCCCAGCACTCGGGAGGCAGAGGCAGGAGGATCTCTGTGAATTCGAGACCAGCCTGGTCTACAAGAGCTAGTTCCAGGACAGGCTCCAAAGCTACAGAGAAACCCTGTCTCAAAAAACCAAAGGAAAAAGAAAATGAATATGAAATCAAAGGGCTTAAAGACTTCATAGGAACGGCAGATTACTAGGTGGACATGATAAAGGCAATTTTTAGTTGAAGATTAAAATAGGGGTTTAAAAAAACCTTCTAACCTGTACTGTATGCTCCTAAATACATTTTAAGGCCAACAGTTTATTTTTTTTTATTTTTTATTTTTTTTTATTTATTTATTATGTATACATATTCTGTTTTGCGTGTATGTCTGCAGGCCAGAAGAGGGCACCAGACCTCATTACAGATGGTTGTGAGCCACCATGTGGTTGCTGGGAATTGAACTCAGGACCTTTGGAAGAGCAGGCAATGCTCTTAACCACTGAGCCATCTCTCCAGCCCGGCCAACAGTTTTTTAAAGTCAAAACTTTTTTTTTCTATTTTTCTTTTTTTTTTTTTTTTTTGGTTTTTTCGAGTCAGGGTTTCTCTGTGGTTTTGGAGCCTGTCCTGGAACTAGCTCTTGTAGACCAGGCTGGTCTCGAACTCACAGAGATCCGCCTGCCTCTGCCTCCCAAGTGCTGGGATTAAAGGCGTGCGCCACCACCGCCCGGCTCAAAACTTTTTTTTTCTAAAACATACTGCCCTGTGGCTCAGCTTTGAAGTTAAAACTTATATTATCTGGAAAACTAAATTTTTTTTCTCTGCACTAAGAATTCACCAGTCCTACAGTAGGGGACAACTGGGACATGTTTCAGAAACGGCTAACTGGGCTACAGAGCACTAACAGGAATTTTTTCTTTTTTCTTTTTCTTTCTTTCTTTCTTTTTTTTTTTGAGACAGGGTTTCTCTGTAGCTTTCGAGCCTGTCCGGGAACTAGCTCGTGTAAACCAGGTTGGCCTCAAACTCAGAGATCCCCCTCCTGTGCCTCCCTAGTGCTGGGATTAAAGGTGTGCGCCATACAAGAGCTAGTTCCAGACAGGAGAAACCCTGTCTCGAAAAATCCAAAAAAAAAAAAAAAAAAAAAAAAGGCGTGTGCCACCACCATCCAGCTGATAGTGAGGTAACTTCTCAGGTTTAACTTGACACCTATTCTCTTTACTGTCTGAAACTGAGTCTCCTCCACCCATATTAGCATTATGCTTACCAGAAAAGAAAACAAGAGGTGCACAAACACTTGAGTGACATTCAATTCTGAGGCTCTATTTTTACACGTCATAAACAGTGTTGATAATTATGGTCCAATAGTGCTTCTGCATAATCCTAGTAAACCTAAAGGCTAGAATACAATCCATTTATACTTCTGAGCATAATTCAATTATAAATATAGTTTTCATCTGAATCTGTACCACACATACTACTACTGCTTCTTTGTACAACCATGTTAAATGGGGGGTGCTTTGACTCTGGCAGCCACCATGCCTGCACTTGAAATGTATTGGCTTCTAGATCTTCTCCAATACTACCATTATGCTCGTTAATACTGTAATCTAATATCATCATACTCTTATCCAACTCTCTGCCTATCTAGCTTTCTCCCAGGTCAAAGGTACTTCTTGAGAAAGAGTCATGGTCATGCTTTTTCAACCTACTAGTCCATATACTTTCCCTGCTTCAATCTGGGTTACTGACAGACAGGAATCCTGTCACAACACTGTCCCTGTACCCAAGGACTCTGCCTCTTACTTTAGTGAACCCTCCCATTCTATCCCAAGTCTGTTCACAAGATCACCTTCCCTAGTCTTATCATTATCTTTTTGTTAAATGTTAACAGACTTTCTTCTAGACCCTGCTCTGTGAATTGTTTCCATTCACCAACATCTTCAATACAGCCTCAGCACTAAGGAGGCAGAAGCTGATGGATCTCTGTAAGTTTGAGACCAGCCTGGTCTACACAGTGAGTTCCAGTTAAGTCAACTGTGAGAATCCCTCTCAGTAAGTAAAAACACATGAATGAAGGCTCAAAAAAAAAATATTAATCATATTGTACTTCTATATTTTTGTTTTGCTATATGGTTTCATATAGACCAGGCTGACCTCCAACTCAAAGATGTAATTAAAGGCAACCTTGAACTCCTTTCCTGTATCCTATATCCATCTCCCAAGTGTAGGCACCCACAGACATGCATATATAACACACACACACACACACACACACACACACACACGCCAAAATAAGAAAAAAAGGGAAGAAAGAAAAAACAAAACAAAAACCTCACTCATAGAGAAGGTCAGTGATGGTGACACCTGTCTGCACTCCCAGTAGTGGGAAGACAGAGACAGGACTGCCAAAAGATGGAACCCAGCCTGGTACAGGCTTGGTCTATACAGACAAAAAAGTGTCATCCCTGGTATATAGTGGCCCATTTTTAGGTAGGATCTCCAGGGCAGCTTGGGATACAAACGAAACAAAACAAAAACCAAACACTGAAGTATTACAGAATTTGTAAGAAGATTCTATCACTAAGTAGTTTTCAATCAAAGGTTATTAGAATCTTTACTTCTTTGCCTTTTTTCTTTGAATGGCAAGTTGCTATCTACAATCAATAAAAGTTGTTTTTCCAATCCTAGGAAATTGGTTGCTAACTAGTTACTAATGGCACCACTGCAGCAGAATACTAAGTAAACTAAATCCTATCATGTGAAAGGACCATAGACTCTCTGCTACAAAAAGAATTCCTAGGCCAGGCAGTGGTGACCCACGCCTTTAATCCCAGCATTCGGGAGGCAGAGGCAGGCGGATCTCTGTGAGTTCGAGGCCAGCCTGGTCTACAAGAGCTAGTGCCAGGACAGGAACCAAAAAGCTACAAAGAAACCCTGCCTCGAAAAAGTCCCCCCCCCAAAAAAAAATTCCTAACATTAGAAAACGGCAGAGGGGAAAAAAGAAAAATCTCTGCCCTTTGGCTTATGTATGTATAGTGTGCAAGTCATTTAATAAAAGAAAACACCACAAAAAGAATTCTGGAAGTTTTGAGACATTATTATTATTTAGTAACTCCAAAACAAACAACAGCAACAAAACAAACCCACAAAACTGAAGGCTAACTATCTCAAGCCAAATTACAATTACCTAGAGCTTGGATTATTCTCTCTCCACAGCTGAATCTTCAAAACAGTGTTCCCTTCACTTAAAGCAGATCTAGGGCTGGGCAGTGGTGGCGCACGCCTCCTTTAATCACAGAATTTGGGAGACGGATAGATCTTAATGAGTTCGAGTCCAGCCTAGTCTACAAAGCAAAGCAAGTTCCAGGACATCCAGGACTGTTACACAGAGAAATCCTGTCTCAAAAACCAAGAGGAGACTTAGGCTTTAGCAATCATCTGTCCCTAAGAGTTCTTTTTTTTTTTTTAATTTCATTTATTTATTTATTATGTGTACAATATTCTGTCTTGTGTGTATGGCTGAAGGCCAGAAGAGGGCACCAGACCTCTTTACAGATGGTTGTGAGCCACCATGTGGTTGCCGGGAATTGAACTCAGGACCTTTGGTAGAGCAGGCAATGCTCTTAACCACTGAGCCATCTCTCCAGCCCCCTAAGAGTTCTTTTATTTATACAAAATTATTTAGTTCCACTCTATATGCAAATACATAAACCTATTCGACTACAATATACATTTAAAATCAGCTGAGAGCATATTTAAAATATATTTTTTAATATTTATTTGTGTGGGGGGGCAGGGGATGCATGTTACCCAGAGGATGGTTCTAGATACCCTGGAACTGGAGTTACAGATGGTGATGAGCTGACATGTGGGTGCCCTGAATGGAACCAGGGTCCTCTGTAAGAGCAGCCAGTGTGCTTAACCACTGAACCATCTTTCCAGCCCTCCCACTACACAGTCTCACAAGACCACCATTTTGGCCATTAGTGGTGGTGAAGACAGCAGTAAATTTGCTGCAAACATCTTAAAGGATCACTCCAGGCGTTTGCGCTTCAAAAGCACTTAAAAGAATGCTTTAATCCCAGCACTCTGGAGGCAGAGGCAGGTGGCTCTCTGAGTTCAAGGCCAGCCTGATCTATAGAGTGAGTATCAGGGCAGGCTACAAAGTTACACAGAGAAACACTGTATCAAAAAAAAAAAAACCTACAAAAACAACAACAAAAAAGAATGTAATAATTTCAGTTGCTGAGAAGCACCGAATAATTTCATGCCAGGACAAAAATCAAAGCATTTACTTTCTACGTTTACAATATTTAAAGCTCCAGGACATTTCTTTTTTTTTTCTTTTCTTTTTTCTTTTTTTTTTTTTTTTTTAGTTTTTCGAGACAGGGTTTCTCTGTGGCTTTGGAGCCTGTCGTGGAACTAGGTCTTGTAGACCAGGCTGGTCTCGAACTCACAGAGATCCGCCTGCCTCTGACTCCCGAGTGCTGGGACTAAAGGCGTGCGCCACCATCGCCCGGCTTCCAAGACATTTCAAGATGGTGAGTATCGTAGGAAAAAAAGCTTCTGAATGAGTTTCCTTAGTAACTTTTACCAGATCCTATTATTACTATTCTTGTTTAATAATTTAGCTACTGAGTTTTTCAAAATTAATAAATCCAGCTCTGCGTGGTGACATGGCATACTCCTTGAGCTGAGGCTAGTGGATTTCTGTGAGTTCCTGACCTACATAGTCAGACCCTGTCTTTTTTTCCATTTTTGAGATAGGGTTTCTCTGTGTAACAGCTCTGGCTGTCCTGGAACTCACTTTGTAGACCAGGCTGGCCTCAAACTCACAGAGATCCGCTTGCTTCCTTCTTCCAAGTGTTGGGATTAAAGGTGTGTGTCACCAACCGCCCAGCTTGGATAATATTTGTTTGTTAGTTTTTAAAGGCAGGGTCTGGGGCTGGGCGGAGAAGGCGCACACCTTTAGTCCCAGTGCACGCCAGGAAGAAGCAGGTAGGTATCTGTGTTCGACCCCAACCTGGTCTACAGAGAAAGTTTCAGTACAGCCAGGGCTACACAGATAAAGCCAGTCTCAAAAAACCAAAAACATCAACAAAAATCAAAGTCACAAAGAACAAGCCGGGCGGTGGTGGCGCACGCCTTTAATCCCATCACTCGGGAGGCGGAGGCAGGCGGATCCCTGTGAGTTCTAGGCCAGCCTGGTCTACAAGAGCTAGTGCCAGGACAGGCTCCAAAGCTACAGAGAAACACTGTCTCGAAAAACTAAAAAAAAAAAAAAAAAAAAAAAGTTACAAAGAACAGTAAACAGAAGCATGGGATCTAAGACTTTCAAGTGGCACCTGGAAGGTCCAGTCCTTGCTCTAATCACTACCTTAGCTTGTCTCGGTGACTCTGCACAAGTCATGTACCTGCATATCCCTCAGTTTGTTCACCTGGAAAACAATGCAAAAAAGCCTCAAGTCTCTTTAACACCTGCCTGGAAGGTAGCCAGGGTAACCAACCTCATTGTCTCTCTGAGCTTCAACAAGTCAGCGTCACTGCTTCTTTTAACTGGAGTCTATTGAGAAAGTACAGCTTGACACAGGTCCCCCAGTCAAAGTACACTACTCTCCTGCTGCAGTCCTTGGGAGCTGAAAGGTCGGTCTTTCCCTGAGATCTGCTCGCCCCTCCGGCCTTTGGGGTAGCCTCAGGTCCGGCCCGCAGGTCCACTCACCCTTCAGGTGCTCTCCGCTGCCTGGCGTGGCGGAACCGCGCGTCCCCGTTGCCCGGTCCCCCACTGGGGTCGAGTGCCGCGCCCCCGTCTGCGTCCTCTCGGCGACACGGCCTTTCGCCATGGCTGTGGCAGGGGGCTAGGAAGAACACCCAATGCTGCCGCGCCCCCTTGAATGACTAAACTACTCCCGCAGCTTCCTACCAACACTGAGGCGCGCCGCACAGCCACTTCCGGCGCGACCCCCTCACCCGAGACGACCTCGGCAGGGAGACGCTGGGCCGAGCCTCGGAGCGAGCTCGGCTGACGGCCCGCCCAGCCCCGGCCAGCCCCGCCCACGAGCCTCGCGCGCTCCCGCAGGCCCAGTGACCGCGAGACGTGTCAGGGCGGGCCCCGCCTCCTTCGGGGCCACGCCTACCAACCTCACGCAGCGAGGCGCATGAGCAGTCGAGTGCCGAGTCACGGGTCTGCAGTCTGCGGGTCGACGTCTCTGCGCTGCTTTCGTCACGCGGAAGTGAGGCCTGGGGGGGGGGGGGGGGGACTTCTGACTCTTTGTTCCCGCCGACGGAAGTGCCGGCACGCGTTTAGTTGGCGCTTCCGGATTTAAGATTCCGAAGGTTCCTCTGCAAGTGGGTCACAAGCGCCATGGAAGCTGCATGCCTAGTCTGAAGATCGTGGAAAATTTAAAACATGAGACGTGAAAACCCAGATTCAGAGACAAGGTTTCATAGGTTTATGAAGGTCACAGAGCGACAGAAATGAGATCAGAGTCTAGCTTTTCTGGTTCAAAACAAGCTTTCCCGCCGTCCACCCTCTTGTCACAAGCAAATACACCCTAGCTCATTGTATTTGGCATTTTCTAAACCCAGACAATCTTCTTGACAGTTTTTCTACTCCTGCCCCTCAGGACAGCTATCCAGCTTCTCACTGGTAAGTATATTAGATTCCCCGCTTTTAAATTTTAGGGTTTTGGTTTTGCTGCAGATTTAACCCGAGACCTTGGGCAGGCAAAGTACACATCTGCTACTGAGCATCCCCCATCACATTAACTGGTTTCCCCCTCGTTAGCGTCTTTAAAAACAGGTATCGAAAGTAAAACTGGGGGGCTGGAGAGATGGCTCAGAGGTTAAGAGCATTGTCTGCTCTTCCAAAGGTCCTGAGTTCAATTCCCAGCAACCACATGGTGGCTCACAACCATCTGTAACGGGGTCTGGTGCCCTCTTCTGGCCTGCAGGCATACACACAGACAGAATATTGTATACATAATAAATAAATAAATATTTAAAAAAAAAGAAAGTAAAACTGGGGACTTTCTTCGTGAAACCAACTTGTCATTTTATTTTTTTTTAATTGGACCAAAAGGTGGAAAATTGGATTTTTTCTATTCAGTAATTACATTTTACGTTTATAAGGTTTATAAGAAACAATCTGGCCGGGCGATGGTGGCGCACGCCTTTAATCCCAGCACTCGGGAGGCAGAGGCAGGCGGATCTCTGTGAGTTCGAGACCAGCCTGGTCTACAAGAGCTAGTTCCAGGACAGGCTCTAAAGCCACAGAGAAACCCTGTCTCGAAAAACAAAAAACAAACAAAAAAAAAAAAAAAAAAGAAACAATCTGACAGCCCGGGAGATGGCGGTTCGAGGGGGGGTAAAGGTGTTTGCAAACTTGACAGTCTGGGTTTGATCTCTAGGACCTACATGGTGGTAGGTGAGAGCCAATCTTTGCAAGTTGTCCTCTGATTTCTACATGACATTCGTTCACACATACAGTAATAAATGTAGTACTAATAAAATTTTTAAAAAATCATTCCATGAAAAGAAAACAGTCATTTCTATTAACATTGGTATCGTAGTTGAAAACACAAAAACAACTGTCACCTGGAAGAGAATAAGTTTATTCAAGCCCGTGGTGGTTGGTGGTAGCAGACGCCTTTAATCCTAGCATTAAGGAGGCAGAGACAGGCAGATCTCTGTGAGTTCCAGACCAGCCTGGTCTAAGTAGCAGGTTCCAAAACAGACAGGGCTACACAGTGAGATCCTGTTTCAAAAAAGCAAAAACAAACCAAAGCAAGCAAACAAACAGGGACTGAAGTGCTGGCTTAGTGGTTAAGAGAACTGCCTGCTCCTCCAGAGGATCCAGCTTCAATTCTCAGCACCCACGACAGAAGTGCACACCTGCTTGTACTCCAGCTCTAGGCAATCCAATGCCCACTTCTGAACTACTTTGCCATCTGTGCACACATGAGGCATAGACATCCAGGCACTCACATAAACATAAATAAAGTCTTTTGGTGGTTTTTTTTTTCTTCCTGGTTTTGGTTTTTTGAGGCAGGGTTTCTCTGTTTAGCCCTGGCTGTCCTTAAACTCATAGAGATTCACCTGCATTTGCCTCCCAAGTACTGGGATTAAAGGCATGTACCACCACTGCCCAGCCAAATAAATTATATGTATTTATTTAAATATATGTATTTACCCTTTACCTAATCTTTCTATATATATATACATACATATATATGTACATATATACACATATATACATACATATATATGTATGATATATATATATATGTATGTATGTATTGGTTTCAGCAGAGTGGGGGAAATCTATTTTATTTTATTTTTTTTTTTTTTAATATTTATTTATTTATTATGTATACAATATTCTGTCTGTATGCCTGAAGGCCAGTTGAGGGCGCCAGACGTCTTTACAGATGGTTGTGAGCCACCATGTGGTTGCTGGGAATTGAACTCAGGACCTTTGGAAGAGCAGGCAATGCTCTTAACCACTGAGCCATCTCTCCAGCCCCCGGGAAATCTATTTTAAGTTTCAAATACTATCTGATGATTTTCTTAGCTTTTGATTGGTGGAAGCTTATGTATTGAGTTAATTTATTCCAAAAGTTTTACCTGATAATCATAAAGATGTTAGGTCAAAAACAGGTGAAATGTTCTTTTTTTTTTAAATATTTATTTATTTATTTATTTATTATGTACGCAATATTCTGTCTGCATGTATGCCTACAGGCCAGAAGAGGGCACCAGACCTCATTATAGATGGTTGTGAGCCACCATGTGGATGCTGGGAATTGAACTCAGGACCTTTGGAAGAGCAGGCAACACTCTTAACCACTGAGCCATCTCTCCAACCCTCTTTTTTGGTTTTTTGAGACATGGTTTTTCTGTGTAGTCCTGGCTGTCCTAGAACTTGCTTTATAGACCAGGCTAGCTATCTCAAACTCAGAGATCCACTTGCCACCTCTGCCTTCCCAGTGCTGGAATTAGAGGCATTCACCACCAGGCCTAGTGAATGGCTTCAGTAAATGGCTCTTAAGGAGACTGAAGACAGCCCAAGGTAACTTGGCCCTGGATCCACACACAGCCTGCTGGTTTGGGTTTTTTTTTTTTTTCTGACTCTTCAGTTCACATGACAAACATGGGAACAAGCTGTAATCCAAAACACACACACATACAAAACTTTTTAGGTTAAGTAAATTCTTTAATATCCATTCAGAGCCGGGCGGTGGTGGCGCACGCCTTTAATCCCAGCTCTTGGGAGGTAGAGGTAGGCGGATCTCTGTGAGTTCGAGACCAACCTGGTCTACAAGAGCTAGTTCCAGGACAGGTTCCAAAAAACCACAGAGAAACCCTGTCTCGAAAAAACAAAAACAAAAACAAAAAAATCCATTCAGTGGAAGTATTTTGTTTTCAGTGTTGGGAACTGAATCCAGGGGTCTTCTGCATAATAGGCCTATACTCACCAGGGAGCTATATCCCAGTCCCAACCAGGACTGTTTACCTACTTTTAATAAGGCCTTCCATTAATGACCACTCTTAAGAAGTGGCTCTTCATTTTCCTTTGAAGTCTCCATAAACTTTAAAACCATAAAGCCAAGCATGTGGTTTAAGTTTGTAATCTCAACACTTGGAAGGTAGAGGCAGGAAGATCAGGAATTCCAGATTGTCCTCTTCTACATAGCAAGTTATGGGCTAGCCTGAACTACATGAGACTGCCATAAAATAAAACAGCAACAAAAGAGTTAAGTGTGATGCCCCACCTTGTCATCACAGCTCAGGAGTTAGAGGCCGTTTCCATCTACAGGGTGAGGTTAAGGCCAGCCAGGGCTAAGGAATGGATGAGTTCCTGGAGGGGAGCAGGCTGGTGGGGAGAGAGTAGAGTCTGAGAAAACCTGTGTAATGCTGTTGCTGGAATCTCCGATCATAAGGCCTGTCTCTGGGTCCAAACATTTGCTCTAATTAAGAGTGAAATGGTTCGGTGTGTAAAGGTTCTTACTGCCAAGCCTGGCAACCTGAGTTGGAGAGCCGGAACCCACAAGGTGAAAGGAGAGAACCAGTTCATACAAGTTGTCCTCTGACCTCCACACTAATGTAGTGCCCTGAGTGTGCACATATACAAGAGGTAAATATAAAAAGAAAAATCATGGTAGTGTGCTGGACTAAAGTGTGTGGCCCAAGGTTTAATTTTTAGTACTGCAAAGCAGCAATGAAAGAGGAGGAAGAGTTGATTATTTAGGTCAATGGTAGACCACTTATCTAGTAAGCACAAGGCCCTAGAGTTGGTCCTAGCACTGAAGGAAAAAAAAACAAAAAACAAAAGGAGACAATAAGCCCAAATAGCAAAAAGTGCAATTAACCACAAGTAGAACAAAAATAAAGAAAAACTACAAAAGAAGTTCAAGACTGTCCTGAACTTGTAGTTCAGGAGACCCTGGGATGGGGAGGTAGAAAAGTTGATCAAAAAACTTCATCTGGGCCATGGGAGGGAAGTGGTACACACCTTTAATCCTAGCACTTGGGAAACAGAGGGAGGATCTCTGTGAGTTAGGCCAGCCTGGTCAACAGAGTGAGTTCCAGCACTGCCAGGACGACACAGAGAAACCCAGTCTCAAAAATCAGAACAAACAAACAAAAATCAAACCTTCATTTGGATCCCCAGCACCCAAATAAAAAACAAGCTCACCTGTAGTGTTAGCACTGAGCTGAGGTGACAAAAATGGGAGGGTGTTTTATGTTTGCTGGACAGCTAGTCTTGCCAAATCTGCGAGCTCGAGGTCCTGTGAGAGACTCTATCTCAAGAAATAAGGTGCATGAACCTGGAGAGATGCCTTGGCAGTTAAAAGCACTTGCTTTTCCTTCATAGTATAGGGTATAGTTCCTAACACCCAATGGTAGCTCACAACTATCTATAATTCCAGTTCTAGGAGATTCAACACCTTCTCCTAGTGTCTGTTCACACATGTGCAGGCAAATATTCATACACACACACACACACACTCACACACACTTTAAAAAAACAGGAAGTGGAGCAAGTTGTGATGGCCCTGGC